ACTATTCTGCACAATTACCGTAAACTAATGCCTAGTGATGTTCAGGTTAAGAGATCTCATCTTCGCCTGAAGTAGCCGGTGGCGGCTGGGCGAAGGTCAGCAATCCACCTCTGCCTGCAAATGGGTGCCAGAAAATCGTATGCTTTCGCTCTATAGCACCTGACGAAACGCTCAAATGCTGATAATAGGAGTTGCTAAATCGATTTAAATATTAAATCAAAAAACAGCGCCTCATCAGACAGTGCAGTTAATAACGCCCAGCGGCATCCTGTGCTGTGAGTTCTCGTTAGTGCCTTTGCAACGCATGCCGAATGAGCTCCTTAATTTGCTTTACGTAATATTATAATTATTAGTACAGTATTATTTGGAATTATAATTAACGACCGAACTGAAAGTCGTCAGCAGTCACCAGAGGCTGATATTACACTGGGAGAAGTTGTGTTAAAAAATTGACTTAACCAACAAAAACCATGATGCTACAGCTATTCAGCAGATTCTACTGTGAGGGCAGCACCGCGAGTTTTACCTCCTGAGACTACTATCAGTACAGACGGAAAAAATTCTTAGGGCAGGTTTACTCTCTGCTGCATTCGTAAACATCGTTTGTTGTAACCGACAAATCAGAGGAAAATTAGCCATTTTTAAATTATTCGTTAAAGTTATGTATTCTAGAAACTCGATCTACTGAAATAGACCCAGAAAATTATACACCATAATTATTAGTACATTGTTAAGCCTATATGGGTAAACGGTAAACGAGGCTTCAATATAGAATAAAGCGATCGGCCATAAAAATTTTCCTTCGGATAAGCAGCATAGCTCACGACTAGGGTGGTGATCTCTGAAATAATGGGAAATCCAAAATCTTCTTTCATTGAATCCGCAAGACTCTTCATCAAACACGTAAATATGGAATGTGCGTTCCATAGATTAAAAGATTCCATATGCAAATTATATCTCTTCTTGCACATAACCTCTAATTGTGCTACATTTATGCTGGTTGCTTGAAAATTGGGTTTTCACCAATCACACAAAATTGAAAAGATTCGACATCACCGACTAAGTGATTCTTTTTGGCAATTTTCTTACCTAAGAAGCACCATTTCTTGAGAGAGCGTTAATCCTCAATAGAGAAAAATTTGTCTCTGTTTGAGTAGAAGTAAAGAAGATGCTTGATGTGTGAAAAACTGCTAAACTTAGGGATACTTCGAAAAAAATGAGGTTACCTCCTTTTCACTCAATGCCAGGTAATAAAACCATTGTATATTTTTTATGAACATCAAGTTTACGGCCATGCCTATGCATTTCAGCAGAGTCGGTATTTTCGTATGTCAGCAGTTGTCGGTGGCATCAAACTTTATAGTCGACAATCAGTTCAGTAAAGCTTATTCCGTATCTCTATCGTACACTATTATCCTTAAATACTTGGTACCTATATCTTGGTGAGCAAACAACTTCTAAGAGATGTGATCCACGGCACGAAATACAATATTATTTATTCTCCCTAGCCACAGTAGTAACTTTGATGATCCGGTGTGAACTGAGAAGATATCGGGTAACGGTAATTGGTAAAAACATATTTTCTCAACGTGGGAAGACAGGAGGTGTTAGTGAGGTGTCATGGAGTGGTCGTAAGCTTTGCCCTTTAGAGATGACGGTTTCAACTCGTAAACGTTGCACGAAAGTTTCTCTTAGCCACTAATTCCCTTGAGCAAGGAATTCACATCACTGTGCTTCGGTGCAATTAGCTGAGATAATCGATCCGCAATTAGTATGGAAAACATGATGTTGATAGTAGGTGTCTGAACGATTCATGGTTCAGGGCACCAAATGCAGCAGATGCTAGAACAGTTTATTGGCGACGCGTTTCGCTACATAGACCGTAGCATCATCAGGGCTAGGCCGAGTGCAAATGACTGATTGCAGCACTTGTGTACAACAAGCGAACAATGCGTTACAATCAAAATGTTATTAAACGGTTCAAACAGAACGTCAACAAACAAATAATGCTAAGTTCTCACTCAAACAACCAGAGCATTGTTGTGTAAGCACGATTTATCGTATTAATTTTGCAATCGACCCAAGCTTTCGCTAATAACCTAGTGTGCGATGAATGCATATCTTCCATGGTTAATGAGAACTTCATATTATTTACAGGTTAAAATTCTGGCCGTTCAGTTTAATAACACTTTGACTGTAAAGTACTGTTCGCTTGTTGGGCATAAGTGCCTGAAAGCAGTTATTATTTCTTTGCTAGCCCTGATGATGGAACGTATTACAGGTGCATTTTAGCACTCTTCCAAGGTATACCTGCTAACGGTGCAGATTAGACATTCGGCAGTGGCAGACTGACCACTGGAAACGCTAATATGAATTGAGACCAGAAGCGCGTCGGCCAGAATGTTCCAAGCGTCTGTCGCCTTTTGTTTTCATGTCACAAAATTACGGAGCAGAACAACAGATGTTTGCATTTTCGCATGTTTTGTCCGTATCGAACATATTAGATACAAGTGAAGGAGGATGGTTGGTTTCCTATGCGTTGGACAACGCGCCCTTGAGCCAACAGTACGTTGAACAGTACAAGTTTTGAAATACTTACCAGAATAATCCAGCCTTTCATCGTGTCCGCTGTTGTTCTACCTAAAACAACACTGAACAATTACTCTCGGTGTGCAGAAATGGGTAGCGATTTTTGTACGCGCCAACGACGACCGGGTCATGATTAGCGCAAGTCGTGGCAAGTGCAAATCGGATGCTCAGATCTGGTCGATGATTGGCTTTACCGTGACAACCGGGTTGTCTAAAACGAGAAAAATATGCATGCCACCAAATCCTCTATTTCTGTCGCCGGATCTCCGGGTGAAAAACTCGTTCCATTGGCTCAGTTATGTAGCTGAATGAGATCACCGTCCGGTTGTTGTTTCTCATGTTACGAGTTCATCGCATCGCAGAAGCTGAGAAGCGGCTGATGCTCACAGTCTAATGATCGACCGAACAGGTACCTCTTTGAACGAAGGGGGATGACGCTTCTGACTGTGGGTCGAATGGCTGAAATGGTAGGAATCCTAAGAACTTCCCGACTGGGTGAGAGGTCGAGGCAAACTAGGCGACGGTCACTGAGTCGAATTCGGTCGAAGCCATGTGAGGTACGGTGGTGAGGGTGACGGCAAGGCGGGCACGGCAGGAGATTAGAGTTGGCTTAGTTGAGGAGGCTTCGTCGTCGGCATCCGATCGGAGTTAGATTCGCCCTGTCCGAAGCACGGCCCGGCCCTGCGACTACGGTTCACGAGGAGGACACGGCGCATTTATGGTGCAAGTCGATGAGAGACAATGATGGCGGACAGTCGCGCACCGTCGCCAACTCTGAGCACTAGCGCAAAAAGACGAACTGGCTGATGACAAAAATAACAATGGCCATCGGTTGTCGTCTTCGTCCTCATCGTCGGTCACCTTCGTCTCTCATTCGCCTCCGGTGTTCGGTGACTCATTTGGAGAAAAATGTAGTGCATACGTTTTTAAACACCTATCCCTTCCGCAGTGGCGTGTGTGCACGCCCAAGAATCTAATTAATTAACCTCCTAGTGAAAATGTCCTAAACATTTAGGCCACGCCGTTTGCTGGGCCTTGTCGATCCATTCACCGGTCGTCGGCGACGACAACGGATTTCTTGCAAGGCAAGGCGTCGCTTTCAGCTTTTTCGTCGCCCCTATTATCGTAATACGAACGATTCGCCAGGTCGGCGGTCGCCGTCGCCTGTCGCCGTTTCGTCACGAACCACCTTTCGCGGTACAGACAAACGATTTGCCGCCAACCACGTTTGCGGCATTCCAGCATTCTGATTGGCTGGCTGCATGTTACAACAAGCAAATAGCGGAAGCCTTCATGGACAGTTACGTGCGTGCGATGATCTGGGTGTTGGTGTTTTTTCGTACGCAGTAGCGACCAGAAGTGTACACCATGTATTTGATGTTCAGAGAAACTACTTCGACTACAATCGTAGGCAAGCATTTTCATAAGCTGCATATATCGAAAGCTACATAAAACACCATGTCATTCTCCTTCCAGGTAATGATGCTTTCATGTCTATTCTCGATATCACCGTAGGGGGATTTTCCATATTTACCTCTCGCCTTGCCCCCGTGTTTCCTTCTACTATGAAAATCATTCAGCCAGTCAGTCAAAATGAGAAAATAAGCGAAAGCTAAGGCACACGATCATTTGCCAAACCTGGATACAACACATGAACGAATGCGAAACAAGCAAAGAAGAGTGGACGCGTATAAGGCTGACCAGAGACCGGTCCAGAACAACTGTTCTGCTATTTCTTTGGATCGATCAAACAGCTAATAGTAAGCCTCAGTCCATCTTCTTCAAGGAACGATCGATGATTTTGGTTGATTGGCCGTTGACTTGGGTCGGTTAAAATGGAACTGCCCAAAGCATCTTGTTTCACTCAAGCTTCTGGCTAGAATGTGGTCAATCTCATTAGCACCATAGTTACAGAGTCGGCTTGGTGGATTCGAAAGGTCCCGGATGCTAGTCGACTATTTTCGACGCAGTCGGTTCATAATCCATCACGAGACACTGAAGATCGCCTTCGCAGTATTCAAATTTACCGGAGCAGTTTGCACCCCAGGTCGGATTGACCCATGTTATTAAGCCACCATAACTTGACTTAGCTTTGTATGGACCATTTCTGCGGTGACATCGTAAGTCTTCTAAACAATGGATATTCTCACTGTCCGTGAGATGTAGAAAAGCGATGCAAGTGTTGTTGGAAAGCGACATGGCGAGAGGCGCCTTCAGCTCATCGACCTTCGGTAGGATAGCGCGGCAATTGCTGAAAATTAGCGCTGGAAAATGCAGGCTTTTGGAGGGTGTTGTTCTAATTCACTTCAAGCCGTTTTTCGAACCCTCCTTCTGTCACGTAAGGTCTTCTGAATATTTCTGAAGCTTGCCATAGAATGAGTCAAAAGCGAAACAACACTTTCGACCTCTGTATCCGATAGTATCAACATCAGTGGCAAGTCTTCACGGATACCAGAGCTGGTCGAACAATATACTATGGGCACTATTGAGGCATTTCGATTACTCCTTGCTCATCGCAACCGAGATGCCGAATTTATCGACCATAGAACGATGTCCAACGGGTTAATTTTGAAACTTTTGAGATGTCCAAAGATGACAGAGGCAAGGCAAAATATTTCATAAAAGATTCTTTTTCAATAAATTTGTCTCTGTGCCATTTACTGAGTTATGTGCCTCAACTCATTCGGCACTCATTTACCGGCATCGAAAGGAAAAATGGCAAGTGACCCGACTGAGGCTCGAGCCTTTCGACGTTATGTCCAACTTTATATCCATTAACAACTGAGACAGTGGTCTTCCAAACTACGCAGAAGCATAACTAGTTATGCATTTTGAACGAATTGTGCTCTTTACAATGAAACTGTTCATTCGAAGCTACATATTTTAACTGAGATGGCAAATTCATTGAATAAATCAGTTTACAAACCTTATTCGTACTCAAAAGATTTTCTTCATTATGATTTTGCTGAGGGTGAATGCGCGCACCCTTTGACCATTTAATTAATCTGCAGCCCTCCAACTAATTTTGTCGCAATCCTTGATTCTCTTTGGAGAATGGGCAATGCGCAAACTGGCTGCTCAAATCTTTTATGTACATTTTCAGTCAAGATATTCGTTTGCTAGTCAGAAGATCGGATTTTTGCAGGCATGAGACAACCTATACGCAATTGGTATCTACGCGTTATTAATCGACCCTTAACTAGTTCAGATCTTTGGCACTTTCAGACCAGTCATAGAAAATACACTATATCATGCTTCGACATGTCATGCAAATTAGTACATGCATTAATCGTAGTTCCCTGTAGACATTATGTCGTTAATCGTTTTTCATCTCATAGTTTTTATGTTTTAGGGATTGGCCCAAATAGTGTCACTTGGATCACATAGACCGGCCGGTAATCGGCAATGAATCGCGTCAGCCGCAACGTTCTCCATTCCTCGCTGTTTCGAGCTTTCTCCCTCCAAGGTTGTGATTAGCAAGCAAGAGGTCTGAACCCCCTCCCCGAGGATACCAGTCGATGATTAGCGCTGACGACCTCCCGTTATGAGTCCAGATATTCCCTCGCAGTTTGATCACCTTGGTGAGGATGAGGTCCGAAGTTAAATTCGCAACATTTTTCCCTCTGTGGCTCTCTCGATGGCAGTTGGATGACGGTCTTTTGCTTTAGTGAGTTATTACGTCTCACAGACATATAAAATTGCCGACAGAACGGCGCAATTTTTTTTCTGATGTTGTCGAGGAGAACGTTAAATCGTGTACACTCCCATTTCTTTAACATCGTTATGTGGCGACTCTCCCGTCTCGAAACAAATGCTGAGGAAAGAGAAACTAGGTTACCCATGTCTGATAAACCAGTTTAATTAAGACACTTTCCTGATCAGTCTGACATTCGAGGAAAAAAGTTCAAGACTTGATTCACGGGAACAGGACATTGAGGTAATTTCATGCTCTGAGAGGAAATGAGAGACTCGAAGTATTGAATCAATCATTCGTTGATCCTCCTTTGAGAGTTAGAATTCAGATTTTACGTTTTTCACCGGTTGTGTTCATGCTACTGCGTTCATTTTTCTGTGCTCTTCTCTAATGGAAAACTCAATAACTTCTGTCAAATCTTATGCGCACTATCTCTATTCTGTACTATGCCATTGACATCTTATAATTAAATAAAATAATTTGATTTTTTTTGATATACACAGTCAATGAATTGGAAGAGATGCTCATCGCTACATGCATATAGCAATGATCAGAGCAGCATATTACAAGGTACCGAATCTGCAGTGTTTATAAGCAGAAAAAAATTCTTTTTTAAAAGGTCAAAGTCCTACGAGGCACCTGTCGAAACTCTGTTTGTAAAGTTCACATAGGCATATTTCAACGGTTCATCGCGTATTAATGGTATTGATTCCACAGCTTTTAATTTCTTGCATGGTGTTATTGTTGTTGTTGCGGTTGTAACTACCGCTGCTTTGGCTGGCGGCAGTGGCAGCCTGAATCGTCGCTTTCCACCTCTGTCAATCACGCGCACAATTTCTGTCATTAAATTCAGCCAGTTTATATACTACCATATTTGCCAGTATCGAGAGAGGCCGAAAGAGGGCTTGGAGAAGACGTCAGTTCCAGGTAACTCCTACCATGTCCGAACTTGTCTGTCTTTTGTCGTTGCTGTCCACCGATCTGAGTGGTGTTTAATGTAACGGAGGTGACTTCGTCTGATGACGTCTCAGCACGTGCTCCGCCAACGCAACTGCCGTCCTCACAACAGTGTAGAGAACTGGAAAACATTGCAACAACCACGGATGGTGGTATTAAACATTTGGTAATTAACCGTGTCCGTAAGACATGAGATTGTGTCCTGTTATTGCAATTACGTCACAGATTCGCTTTAGGACATATTTGGTATCGTCACAGTTTCATGTCACAATATGACGTCGTTGACAGAGTCAAGATCAATTATGTAATGACCACGACTAACGTAGACAGAGGCGAAATCGCATGTTGTCTTTGGAACGGTCGAGTCAGTGGCGAATCGATCAAGTTGAATAGAAGGGGCAGGGGGTCACTGAGACCTCACGGACACCGGAAGCTCGTGCTTTGAATTACTATGCCGTAATTAGCTCATAGGCTTCTGAGAACGCCATTCATTTTCGTAAATCGTAATTGGGATATCATGTGGTTATATGTTACCATTCTGTTGGTTACGGGTTTGCCCGATTCGTCCCCAGCCATGACCTGATTGCACCGACCACTGGCCGGTCGTAGCTGCTTATTCGTCACTGCCAGCTTTCGTATATTCAGGTTGCTCTCATATGCGCAACCTGGGGACGTGTCAAATGGCCGGCAAGCAAGTCCTTACATATTAACGACTATTCTATCCATTATTCTACATAACTCCAGCCTGATTGTCCTCCTCGTGTTCTCAAATGACCTTTCGTAAACCCTAGATCTAACGTTAATGACGTAAAGACAGAGGACTGACAAAGATCCTCACACTGGCCTATAAAAAGTGCTAACAGCCGAACCTTGAAGCAAGTTTCAGACTACAGTCCATTCTAATTCCCAAAAAAATATAGAAGTCTCTTAATAAATATTTTCCCTGTGCTCCATAGCCTCAATAAAGAAAATGAAGAGTTACATGCGAGATAATGGACTGCATATCCGAGAAGTGCTCGGCGGTTGATACGAAGAAACAGACGAAAATTGGTGACATCCTTCGCATTACCTTGACTGTCAAAAAGTGAAAGATCTGGTGATATTGATGCTCAGATTTTGATATTCATAGAATCGTTCTTTTCAACCGAGAAGAACATTTTCTCTTTCCCTAAAATTTGTCGGATTTCATTGATTAATCAAAATTGTAAACAAATTTTAATTTGCAGTAACTAGAGGCAATGTCGGTAAAAAAAAATCACAGTTAGTCGGAACACAAAATTCTAAACAATCGGCACCTTTCGCATCACAGAAGGAAAAAACTAAACGGTTAGGGAGGTTTGTCCAAATCTAAAATGATCAAATAGGCTGATATGACGACGACTCGCTTTACGACAAAAAACAGCGAAAAACATTCACGACCGATACGTAAATGGTTGCCTAAGCTTGGCTGAAGACAAACTGCGTGGGAGCTTGATGACGTGTCGTCTGTTCAGACATCAGGGTTTGAAACACAGTATGAATCCCCTGATAGTTATTTTGAACTTCATTCATTTTGACAATAATATTCTTCTGAGCAGAGGATGCCAGCTGCAAAAGTAAAACATTGAGCATGAAAGAGGACGCCAAACACTAAGAGCAAATGTGCCAGAATTTGTACAACCCGTAGAGCAAAACAAGTTGAAATTCAGGGAATTTCGCTCATAACATTTGTTTATTATA